CTTTTTTTTTTATATCGGTTATTAAAAATTAGTATCGAGTTAATTTTTTTTTTTATAAAAAAAAAAAAAGATAAAATGGCGTCGTCTTATTTCATGGCGCGGTTTTCAAAATTATCTTTTAATATTGTTAATTTTTTTTCTAATATTTCTTACTCGTTATCACCCCGTCAAAAATAAGAGGGGAGAGGGGAGAGAGGAGGAAAGAAGAATAAAATAAAACATTTTATTATCTAATTATTATTATTATTATTATTAATATTATTAAAATAATTTAATGTGGGAGTTAAATTTATTTTTTTAAACGTTGGAAAGATGCCATTTTTTTTTTTGTTTGTTTTTTATTAACAACGTTATTTAAAAAAAAAAAAAAAAATTACTTTTAATATTTATTATTATTTATTCGAAATAATTAATTATTATTATTATTAATTACGAGTTTTATTTACGATATATCGAATCGAATCGATAATTATAATTTTTTATTTTGAATTAATTCGAGGAGATGAATTTGGCATCGACCAATAAGAAAAAATTTCTTTTTTTTTTTTTGATTGGATGAAAAATAAATAATTTTAAAATAATAATAATAATAATAATAATAATAATAATAATAATAATAATAATAATAATAATAATAATAATGATAGTTTTTTTATTACCCGTGATTTTATTACCCTTTTTAATATGGGGAGAAAAGAAAAAAATAATTTAACGCGAATTTTTTTTTAGGTGACGTCAAATTTTTTTTCTCTCGTTAAAAAGTCTCCTTAAAATTTTTATTATCATTATTACTATTATTTTTTAACAACCAATCAGAAGCGTCTATTTACCAATTATTTATATATGTAGAAAAAAATTAAAAAATATTTTTTTCCCGTTAAAAAAAAAAAAAAAATTAAAAATCTCATCCCTTATTAAATTTTTTAAAAAAAAGGATGCACCTGATTTCATTTTCATTTCCGGTTGAAATAATCCCCCCCTATCCCCCTATCTCTTTCCTCCTTCTACTCCCTCCCGAAAAAAAAAAATTCATGCGATTTTAATGGTCGTTTTTTTTTTTTTTAAATGTCATTTTGTAAATAAATTGAAATTAAATTATAATTTAATTTTCTATTAACGG